ATTGAACATGATTGAACTGAACCTGAACCTGAACTTGACCAAAGTTCGGTTTCAGTTCGGTTCATAGGAACACTAAGAAGTTTATAGACTTGAGATAATCCAACATCAATCTGGAGATTCAGATAATCAACTCGGTTTTAGAGATATTCTATTAAGACTACATAATGGCGAATCAACACAAAGGGATTGGAAATGTTGAAAACTTGGTTTGAAAATAATTATCTAGAGCAGAATGCAATCAATTTTCTGAAACAACACATATCTTAACAAGATGGGTTGATGTTGATGAGGTTAACTTTAACATACTTAAGTCATTACATTGCCCTGTTGCCAAAATTGTTGCTGTGCATAGTGGTGGTAAAGAAGCTCATACAGCTGATTCTGATGTAGCATGAGGACTCGAAGCACAACTTTAAATAGCAAAAGGTGTGAGAATTATGCTCACAGCAAATTTGTGGACATCTGCTAGACTATTAAATGGTTCTATAAGGACTATTGTGGATATTCTTTTTACAGAAAACTAAGGACCTTCCTCACTTCCCATTGCTATATTTGTCTCTTTTGATAACTATGATGGTCCTTCTACTCAAACACCAACTGGAATTAATGTTGTACCAATTTCATTTATCAGGCATACTTGGGAAGGTAAATATGGGCCATGTGCCCGCCAACAAATTCCTATCTGTCTTGCATGGGCCATCACAGTTCACAAAAGCCAAGGACTCACTTTGCCAAAAGCTGTTGTGGATCTTAGTACAAAAGAGTTTACTACTGGCCTTTCTTTTGTTGCAGTATCACAAGTCTGATCACTCCAAGATATTCTTTTCAAACCATTCTCCTTTGAAAGAATTGACTGCATCAAAAATTGTTCAATATTACAAGAAAGGCTGAAAGAAGAAAATTGATTGTTAAATATGTTTCACAGTTAATTTACAAACATAAATCGACGCATTCTATATTACAATCGAAAAAAATATTTATTACTTAAATCCAATGGTTAATTCATTTAATTATGAAATATCAATTAATTATAAACTATCTCTTGTATAGTAAAGAATTACTTTAGTTAACAGTTAAACCAAAAAAAAAGTGAAAATTTTGTCAAGCACTTTTTTTATATTTATTTTATACGTCATCGCTAAATATTTATTATTGTATTTTATTACACAATTATTTATTTTATTATTTAATCATCATACAAATATGACATCGCTTATTAAACTTTTTATTTTAACTATCTATTTTTTTATAGGTTTTGACATTCCAATTTATGAGAAACACACAAGAATCGAATAGCACACATGAATTTGAAAACTAAGATAAGTGACACAAAAATCTCTTAAACGCAAAGGCAGACAATCTAATAAATGCATTATTTAATTATATAGGCTCCGGACCTTAACTGTTCCTGTTTCCTAGTTTAGAAGTCTATTATGACAGACTAATAACAAAGTTTATTGTATTGTATAAGTGATTTAATCGCACATGAGAAGTAAATACGCAAATAGAGGTTCGATCAGTAAGATCGAACACACTTTAGATTTTCTTGTAAAATAACCAGTGCCTACCAAGCTGTGCCGTACCATCTGAGGTTTGTTGGTTATGAGGGACGTTTGAGAAGGGGAATTCTGGTGAAATTGCAAGCGATGAAGAAATGAATAAACCCCGCGCCAATATATTCAAATATTATCAAAATTAATCGAGATTAAGGACGCTATTGGAATATATAATATTGATTATTGCTATCAACAATATATCAGAATTAAAAAGGTATGAAAAAGTGAAAAACTGTCCGTCCATCTGAGATACTGCTGAGACAAGAAAACTTTTACCTACTCTCAAAAGGGAAGCCGAAAAACTTTGCGCATTCACAAGAATTAATAAAACTTTTACCAACTCCTAAAAGAGAAAAATATGGTTAGATTCTATTATCAAAAGAGACAAACATGACAGATAAAGCATTCAATATTAGCCAAAATCCATTAATAATAATATTGCTAGAACGTTCGATGGTACAAAAAATAAGGGGTGCTAGTGGTGCCCTACTCATTTGTTTCTGGTTTAGTGCGTGCGTGCGTACGTACGTACATATGTAGGTAAAAAAATTTTCGACATTTGACACCACGTGATTGATTGATTAAACAGTCGTACAGATTACTGATCAAATAAACAATCTTCCCAACACGAATCTGTGAAAACTATTTACCAGTAAATATTGGGCATGGATGTTTCTATTAATGCCTATGGCGAGGTTAATCGTCTTTCCAAGATTCATAATGATAAGAAACTTACTGAAAATGAAGTAGCCTCTTTGTTCACATATTTTAACAAACCTGGCAAATTGTCTTACGTTGAAAAGGTTCTTAGCAATACCGAAGATGATAATATTAAGCTCGCATACTTAAGAAATCTATTAAACTCTGGTATGAATCGAATAATAATTTGTAGTTTTTACGAAGTAATTTCGAATACTTAAACTTGTAATTTTCCTTGCTTAATCCAAACCTGTCCAAAAATCATATTATCTAGAGCAAGTTAATATCGACGGTAAGTAAATTTGACGACTCAATGTAGAGATGCGATCTAAATATTTACCCGTTTTGTTCTTACCTTATAACAAATTTAATATAAAATTGGAAAGATATCCTGATATCACAGCTGTAAATTTCAAATAGAAAAACGTATAAAGATCGCATCTCTAACGCAGCTTGATTTTTGATACCTTTTTTTTTTTAATTTTTTATTTATTAGTTCCAGATCTTGCATATCGCTTTGATCAGATGGTATGATTATTAATATAAGACATTATAATTTCAATACTCTACATTTACAGGATTTTTTTTTAGAATTTATCAAGGGATAAATCAACTTCAGAATTATCGAAAGCCGTAGAGAAATTATTTAAAGCCATAGATGAAAATTTAAAACAAATGGATAAAGTTTCAACACATATGAAAGCTGCCTCGGCATCTGTAGATAGAAACTTAGAAGTTTTAGATAAAGTATTGAATCGACTTAATAAAGACAGTAAATCTATTGGCCGGAATAATGAAACAGGTAATGGTTTCTTAGACACAAACTTTAGCGCTTATACTTTATTTAACCACTGTTATGCGCGCTTTAGCCTCCGTAACACGTGCAAAATCTTATCAAAGCACCTCATTTGAAAAAGTCAATGAAGATAATTTTGGTTCACCTTTAACAAAATTGCAAGGACCTAGAAGTGTTGAGTTCTTAACATCACAGGGAAAATTCAACAGTATATAAGATTGACTGGGATAATACTCCATCTGTTATAAAAGTCTTTAAATCTGGCTATAGTTCAAATTCTGAGGTGAATGCATTAAAATTTTTAAACGGGAGAAATTTCAAAAACGTTCCAAGATATGTTGCACATGATGACAATTCAATAATTATTCGCCCGGTTTGTGGACGAATTGACGATCAATTCAGAACATCTCATACTTTACAACTTCTTAGCCTTTTAAAACGCATTCATGAATTGAAAATTTATCATCGAGATGTGCGCCCTGAAAACATCTTATTAGATACCAATAATGATACACTTATACTTGCTGACTGGGGATCATCAATCCAATATCAAGGTGGAAAGGTGGCTTATGAAGGAACAATCACATTTGCTTCACCAAATATTCTAAATAAAAAGTTTGGTTTTTATGTACCTAAAGCATCTGATGATTTGCATTCATTCGTCCGTACAGTTTATACTTTACGAAATCCATCAAAAATTCCAACCAATTCCGATGAGAATCTTGAATTAAAAGCAAAGGTGATTAGAGAATATTGGAATGACATGTTAGATGTAAAATTGTGTGGACCACTTTGGACAGAGATGGTTAATGCAGCGGAGAATGAAGATTATAAAACACTAGAAAAATGTTGCTATGTATTTACAAAATAATACCATCCGAGCTATGTATGGATTTAAATTTAAATTGAATATGGTTTTTTTTACTAAGAATTTTAATTCATCTTTAGCAATAGTTCACATTTGCACTAATAATTAGCTTAAAGTTTCTACATTTGGGGCTTATTATTTTTAATTATCTCTCTGGTCATAGCTTGGTATAAATTTTCTTAAAACAAATTCCTAATCTCGCTTCGTTGAAAGTATTGAACTACAATTTGAATTTAATTTGGACATTCTTACATATCGATTAAGTATGCAATAGTAACTTATGCTTAATCGTAACTAGTACGCATAAACTGTAAAAGTTACTAAGACCAAATCTTTCAATTGATAATTTGCAAAAAAATTTATTATACTTACACAATTTTATAACAATTATTTTTGCTAAGAATTTTTTATTTTCTTATATCTTTAGAAAAAAATTTCAATTTCTTTAATGATCGGCGATACATGATGCAATATATATGTTGTGCCTCAGATTAATGCTTGCGTCAGATGTCAACTTTTTGGCCCGCATTAACTGATCGATATTGATTGACTTAAATTAAGCCCAAATCCTTCCCAGATTCTTACCCTAACCCTAATCTAACTTAGGCCGGTTTTAATCTGACGCAAGAATTGATCTGAGGCACGACATATATACACGAATCTACACTTAAAATTTAAGCTCAATGACGTAACTGTTTTTAGAGAATACCATGTTTGTGAATACATATCTATCCTAAATGTATTAAAGTTGTGAATTTTATGTCAAAGTGAAGGTGACTTGCATGAATTTTTTTCACGCACTTAAAATACTTTAAATATGTCGCGCGATTGTATAAATACCATGAAAGCCAAACTCACGAAACTAAAGAGTGTGATAAAAAAAAAAATGCCAAGCTTATTACAAAATTAGAAATGCAGTATCGAAGAAATTAAGGTACCGAATTGTTCTTAAAGTTTGAGGCAGCATTGATGAACTTAAAAAAAAACCGTAATAACACTTGTTAGTATAAAGATGTTAAAAAGCTTGAAGATATTGTCATTAAGCTTTTATGGGAACCAATAAGAAGCACAGATTTTCGTTACTCTCTGTTTCTGATATGGTCCAGGGCGATTTTTTGCGGCAATAAAATATCTAATATTGTACGTGCGTACCTAATCCTATCCGTTATAAAAGATACTTCTGCAAAATTCTAAAATTTGACCAGAATTACATAGAGTGGCCAGCATTATGATCCGAAAATCAAGTCAAATTTTTAATTAGTGCAAAATTCTGTGAAAAAATTATGACTACAGACAATGAGCCAATTTAATTGACTTTATTATATATCAATATGAATTAGAATTATTGTTGCTTAATTGTGAAATACATTCTAATTTAAATTATGATATACTATATATATATTAATTGTTAAGTAAGGTGCGTCGTTAGAAAAAATAAAAATTTGAACAACGGGTTAAATGGTGGGAAGATGGGTTAGACATTATGATGTGGTGCAAAAAAAGATTTTTGGAGTCTAATTTTAAATCGATTAATAATAAATTATCGGAGTCTAATTTTAAATCGATTAATAAATTAGTGACCACATACTCAGATTTGGGGTCCAAATATTTAGATTTGGTGACCAAATTATCACTTAATACCACAAAATGCGCCGTTAACAAAACTTCGTGCGACATTATCATGTATATGTAACGTACTTCGGCGTAAATTATTGTCTTTTGATTTTACAAAGTCTCTTATCTTACACCTTTCTCATGGCATCAAAATTGTTTATGGGCGATATGCCCGAATTAATGGAAAGAATTTTAAATAATTTAAATAATGAAATTTATACCTTACACTCATGCACACTTGTAAGCCGACATTGGTGTAAGATGTCAATTCCTATGCTTTGGCGAGATCCATTTACATTTAGCAAAAATCCAATGTTCATATCAAAATATATTTCATCCCTTGAAGATAATGAAAATTTTATTTTAAAAGAATATGGGATAACTACCAGTTTTCCTAATACTTTATTTCATTATGCAAGATTTTTAAAAGTTCTCAACTTATCTTTTCTAAATGATAAAGTTGAACGATGGATCAGATGGAATAATATCAACCAGCAAATAGATAAATTAAAATATCATATAGTTAACTTATTGCTTAAAAACATTATTGAAAGTGGAGCCATCTTGTCCAGATTAGATTTAAATATTTCCGAAAGTGGTGTCATCTCGTCTATATTATTAGATTTAAATATTTGTAACAATTCTGCTAAAATTAATTCTGAGATCTTTTACTTATTGGAAAAAAATATGAACTTTCTCTCACGACTTCGTGCTCTATCTATCGTAATATCAGAATTTGAAGATGAATCTGAATTTGAATCAAATGAATCTGAATATGAAACTGACTTCGAACAGACCATCACATTATTAAAAATTTTGGCAAAAAGTGCTACAAAAATTACCGACTTGAGAATTGAAATGTTTTATTCTGATTACCTGCCACAACTATGCCATGAATTAACATGCATTATCAATTCACAAGAACACCTTAAATGGTTTAACTTTTTCCGCGACGACGAAGCACCAAAAGAATTATATGGTATCATTTTAGCTCTAAAAAGTCAAAAAAAGACATTAAAGGAAATTATAATAGAAGGTTGTGCTTATTATAATCCAGAGTTTAACATACTAAGAAATTGTGAAAATTTAGAAGCTATTCGTACTGCACGTTGCAGTGAAGAAATATTAAAGATATTAAATACCAAAGTCAACATTTTAGAAATAAATTCTTACGACTCAATAGATGCATCAAATCTAATACAAATTTTAGAAAAGTCTGGCTCATCACTACAACGACTTAAACTTAATACAGAATTTTATATAGATTTTTATTCAGAAATTTATTCACAATCATCATTAATAGAAACACTTATGGCTTTCTGTCCAAATATTACTTATCTTTATATATCGGGTGTTAAACTTTTCACTCAATTTTTGAATCTTATTGAGTGTTTACAAAAACTTCAATTTCTCACCATATGCTGGGATGATGGATCAGAAGTGAAGACACGTGAAATGAGAAAAAAAGAAACAAAATCAAATGTTAAGCAGCTTGCAGAAAAATTACCATCAACATTACAATATCTTGACTTAACTAAAATATGGTTGGACTCGCACATTGATATTTTACTCGATCATTGTGATGCACCTTTAAAACAACTATCATTTCGTATGCACTATGATGAAGAGGAAAAAATCAATGCGTTAATTAGATTTTGTATACGAAAGAAGACCTTGAACACTGTGAGTATATTCAAAGAAATGAGTTTAGATAAACTTAAAGATAAACTTAAAAAAGATTTAGAAGGATTTGTTAAATTGGTACCATATGAATCTTTTATTGTCAATTGCTAAATGATAGTCTAAGATAAAATAAGATTTTTTAATTAGGTATTATGGTAGACAAATATAGAGAGAATAGGATAGGATCGATGAATAACTATTTGATCATTGATCAAAAATTTCGAGCATCGTCAATTTTATGTGTTATGATAATGATAAATTTTGCATAATGTTGATTAATAAATCTTTTAGATTTTACAAAATTGAATTACCATAATTAAAAACATGGGTTTTTCATCTTATATTAATGTTCCCGTAAAAAATTTATTAAATCAGTTTTTTCATCAAACTTTCAAAATCAAAATGATAATGAAGTTGCTTTTTCCAAACTTAATTTCGAAGCTGATTCTTCAGTTTAATAGTTTTTACAAAAACACAATTTCTTGTTTCATACAATTTCTGCAACAAGCACATCAAGTGAACGCTTGTTTCGATTTTCATATAGTAAGTCGTTGACTGGCTTTTTTTTATAAAAATTTAAATTTTAATAACTACAAATATGTACAAATAAAAGTTCAATTCTCCGAAGCACTCTTAACTGCTCATTAAATTAATAACTCTTTTTTTTATTTGATTTAGGTGTTATTAGATTTAATAATTAATTTTCACCTTGTATCATATAAAAATAAAAAATTGTGTCGCTATTATAAATACTTTTCGGTCCTAACAAATATGACTATATAGAACGTTCATTATGACAGCAAATATTTCCCAAAATTACTGTTCGCCCATTCATTCTTTTTTACATTTTGAAGAACTTTTTCGTGGATTCCCACCTCTAAGAGACCATCTTTTGAAAGCAAATCCAATAATCTTATAAGAACTATATCCAAGACCACTAATCAACGCTATACCAATAATCATAGCAGTACCAAAAACATCCAAATACATTCCTATAATAAGACCCATTCTTGAATCGGGAGTGATCCAATGCCTCAATAAGACTGTATTGTCTACCTTCAACTCATTATCCTCATTCATAACACTTTCGAGTTTGGCCAAATTCATTACAATTTCAATCAAATCAGCACCTTTATACTTTCCTTTACTATTAAATTTCGCCAACACTTGCATTCTTTCCGCATTTATTTTAAAACTTTTTTCTTTCATTAATCTTGTAACCTTTGATGTTATGTCATCGACTTTTAGATCAAGTTTTGAAAGTTTTAAAGCCATACCAGTAAGTTCCAATTCTTCAGCATTTACAATTTGATCATATGCTATTGGAAGTATTAACATTGGAGTAGCTGTATACATAGATTCATGGTAACTTCCTACACCACCATGACTAAAAAATACTTTAACATTCTCATGAGAAAGTATTGCAAACTGAGGGGCATACTTTATGATACGGATATGCGGATATGAATTATTTAAAATATTTGAAGTTGGTATAACATCACCAGAAGAAAGTGCGAATGAGGAAGGCAGTTCCGATTCATCAAATAGTAAAGTTGCCCAGATTACACCATCGAGAATGTTTTGATTGATTAATTCAAGAGTAGAATGTAAAATGATGGCATAATTTTCAGGAGTAGTATAAACAGTAGTTCCAAGAGAAATATACATAGTTCTAGGATGTGTAGAAAGAAATAATTCGATATCAG